CACCAAGAGACATCTGAAATCCAAACATCTATTTGGAATCGAGGAACCACACTCCGGTCGGCTTCACAGCAGCAGCACTTGCGCTCCAGGCCGGTGACGGCATGAAAAGGTGTCTTTACGTCACAGCAAAAGATTCGAGTGTGACAGAAAAAATTCTGTGTCCACATATTCCCATCAAAACTGACCTTGCATTGACAGGTTCTTCTTTTTTCAAAGCATCTCTGTGGCCATTGACACGCATGTGTGCTCTGCACTTGGTCCAAAATCTCACACAGTCAGGAACACCTCTTGGACTGAAGTCAATCAGCAAGATTGTCATCGACTGGGAACATCAGAGCACGTGAGGAAGGAGCAGGGCCGTCTTTTGCAACAATCTCTGCGTCACGAGTCTCTACTCGGAGAACGATCTGAGTAGATTGCTTTGTGCTTGTGTGCGTAAAGAGAAGACCATTCCTTCAAGGACGGCCCCCCTCGACGCAAGCGCATCGGTAAACTAAAGTACGTGTTGGCCCACCACTTGCCCCACGCGCGAACTGTCTCGCCGGAAACTTCGCGGGAAAACCAGCAAAGCCTTCGCCCACTGTCATCCTTCTCAAACCAGCGGCTACAGATCCTTAGGAAACAAATGTGATGGCAGAAGCTGAAGAAGACAGGAGTCCGGACAGTGCCTCTGTGAACATTGCAACTGTCTTTCAGAACTACAACACAAGGCTGCAAAGCGACAAAACGGCGTGTCCAGCCCGCGTGCCACTGTGCCAGATCTTCTGCCTGGCGAGCCGGTTCATTGCACGTGCACCCCAAACCAAAAAGGAAAATCAACAATAGGAAACCCGCCTGAGCGCGTAGCCACACTGTTCACGCCTTCCATGTTTCGTTGGCTTCAGATGCCACTCATCAACCTGCGCCGCAGCAGTGCCACTCGAGGAGCCAGTGCTTCGCACGCGCACGCGTGGAGAGAGCACCGGCACAGAAGTCGGGGTGCTTGAAGACGGCCCGTCAGGAACATGCGTGGAAGGCATAGGCATAGAAGTCGTGGTACTCGAAGAAGACACCAAGCTCGGCATAGCAACGCCGGGCTGCACATCCACAGATGAGGCTGTGGAACTTTCAAGCACTGGCTGAGGGAGCTGACGCCACCCAGGAAGACTGTTCTCCCACCAAGCTTCAAGTTTGCTCCTCAAGTGATGCGGAGACTCGTCGCCGCGGGGAGGAGACAAAGAGTCTGCTTCACTGGCCAGGTCACCTGTCCGTCTTTTCTTGGACATCGGAGAAGGCGAACAAAGATCGACAGTATTGAAGCTTTGCAATGTAGGTGAATCCAAAACCTGGGCGATGTTTGGGTATAGTTTTGCACAACCTTTCAAAAGCCACGGAACAAAAAGGGCGCACGGAAAACTGCTTGAGTCAAGATGGTTGGCTGGCGTTGCCGCTGAGATGCTGGTATGATCGTGGTCTGTCGCCGGGGCGTCAAGGGTCCAGACACCAAAATTGCCGCAGCGCCCGTGTCGTCATGCCTGCGAATTGGCAGAAGGAGAACAAAATGACACCCAAAGTGGGCGCAGAACCGATTCCATAGGATGCGCCTTCCGTGCTCAGCGTCGTCACGCCGTGCTGGATGTGCTGAAGATGGTGCGCCGGCCTATTCGCATCACCGGGCGCGTGGAATCCGGAAAATCGAGGAAGCTCTTCATAAAAAAACCACTGGCTCCATGGTTACGGTTACAGAGATTCACACAAGGAAAACACAACCCTGCGGGGCAGATTTGTCTTCGAAGCACCACATGTCCCCAAACAAGTGCAAGGACCTCTGCAGGACCCGTTTCACATTCCCAGATCCACCGAGGCACCGTGTCCTCGTTCAGGACCTCTGCATGACCATCATGACGAGTTTGCTCTGCATGGCTCGAAGACATGGGGCGATTTAATCTCGCAGATAACACATGCAAAGCAGCTAGTTGAATCCAAAACTGAGACCTGTTCTTGCTTTTCAAGATTGTCAACCAAACTCGCAACCACGTGTATCGAAGTAACCCCAAAAAAAGGTGGAAGAACGTTGAGATCCAAAGGCCACCTATCGTTTGAAGAAGTTACATCCGAAACAAAATCAACCAACGGATCACCTCCCACCGGGTACGAACCAACATCAATTAATCCGTCCAAAAAGAAGGGGTCCACACGAAAAAAAACCTCTAAAGATGACTCAGAAACGGTTTCCCCACACAAACGAAGCAACAAAATGAACGACAAACACAAAAGAGTTTCGCGGCTGAGAGCCATGGCCGCGGCTGCGGCATTGACACATGAGCCGAACGAAACCGTCCGTAATCGAACGAAAACGGACGAAAACGAACGAATCGACGAACCGAACGAAACCTCGCCCCCCCCAGAACCCCCCCCCCCAACACACCTGTAGCTCACAGAAGGACAAAGTCATATATCAAGCACACTAGATACTGCATTATTGGAGGTTATTACATATCAGGCACAGGCGCCTGGAGGCCTGGAGGCGTTACCAGCACCTACCCAACCTTTCTGGGGAGACCGGTCGTCTCCCCACTCCGATCATACCTCCAACCAATGGAAGAGCTGCACATGAAGCTCGCTCCAAACCCCAGCTCCAAATCCCTCCATCCGAGCCAAAACGGGTCCAGTGCAGCGACCGGTCGCCACTCCGAGAGTCGGTCGGTTCCTCACAAGCCGAACCAGTCGAACCGGTCGTCTTTCTGGGGTTCGGGTCGGGACGATCAGAAGCTCTGTGTAGAACTTGGGAAAGTGAGTGTCAGGGGAGCTGGCACGAATGGCTTGACGTGGACAGGTGTTCATTGGTCACATCATGGAGAACATGGGGAGCCTGTGTCATGTTGTCCTAGGCAGGGGTGTCTACCTTGTGATGGTCAGTCGTTGAGAGAAAGAGGAGGGGTTTTTTCATAGATTTGCCCTCCCCCACAGCCCCCACAGCCGAAGGATTCTTCCATATTGTTTGCCTACAAAAAACACTTTCTCTACCCCAAGTTTTACTATGCCCGCTTTAGAACCTGACTATTCCTTTGCTACTACGTACTTGCGTAGTCTTTCTCTTGCTGGCACTTTTTCTGTGTTCAGTGGCAAGAAACGACTCTTCAAAGTATAGAACTGAATAGGATGTGTTGCACCAAGACCGGTGCGGTTCGCTTTGGTTTCACCCCACGGTCGACCGACCCGCTCCCGAGACGTCGTTTATCCGCTCCCGAGGAATGAAATGCTGGCAGAGCTCGTGGGTGGACCTAGAAGGGCGGAACGAACCCCACGAGATGTGGCAGAGGTGGTGGAACCCCATGGGGTTACGGCCCATTGGCAACTGATATTTCTCTGTTCTTTTGTATGTTCTTTTGCTTCATCATGCGTATGCTTCAATGAGCAGCCCGGCTCCGTGATGAAAAAAACAAAACCCAACCCTCCATGCCATGCACTCATCCCATGCGTGGAGGAGGAGGAGGACTCTTCGGACGTTTTCTGTCCGAGGTTGAAGAGCTTCTCCAGCTCCGGCAGCAGCTTCGCAGCGGTCAGGTCAGGCGTCGGCGTGGTCGGCGTGAGGTGAGGTGAAGGCACAAGGAAAACCATTCAAAACCAGCAAGCCATGTGTTCTTAGCTTGGTGTTTTCTCTCAACTTGTAATTATGTGAATGGCATGCCGAAAGGAAAGCATGTTTTTTGTTGAAGACCGGGGGTTCCTCCAAACCATGCCCTGTGCAGGAAATCAGGTTTGAAAGAAATGTCCTGAAGTGTGGGGCAAGAAGCTCCTGAGGGTTCTCTAGGCAGCCAAGAGAGCACATGGGAGGGTTGCTACTTGGAAGCTTTCTTCGGCAAGTCTGACCACCTTGGCAGCGCCTAGGGCCCACTAGGACCTGGGGTCCTTGGACGGTCGTGGGATTTTTGCAGTGGTGTTGCAGCCTTGTGTATATTGCTTGGCAACTGTTAATGAGCCGGCGGTTGAAGTCCACATTCAAGGCGGCCATCAATGTTTGCTGCATGTTTGCTTCACTTTCTGCAAACATAATTCTTCAATGCATGTGGTAGTGGCTGCTGCCCTTGGATGTACAGATTACTCCAACGTGTTTTTTTTCCCCAAGAGTGAGTAGACGTG